AGATGTGTTAGCGGGATCCAACTAACAAGAAACTCGTATCAATGGACACCTCAGGAGATTCCAAGAAAAAAATGAATGAAGGGATTAAGGCCATGGAAGAGATGCAGCACTGGTATACAAAACCGTGGATAACAACGTGTTGAATATCTATCTCCTAAGCACATATCAGATAATATCAAATTACATAGACGACGTCCTAAATCATCACCAACGTCTGCTGAATGTACATTATCATCGAAATCATGTTTTTGAATTAGTATCCCCCATCCAGATTGAAAACGCAATATTAGATATATCATGGAAATTACCTTCAAACATACAAAATCTATCCTTCCTACTAGTAGAAACAAGAATTCATCACAGTAACAACTCCATACATGTTTTGGATATTTTATTACGACAGAAGTAGACAATTTTCTTCTAATAAAAGCTACTCCAATACCGTTTAATGTAACGAATGACTCATACATATTTGGTGATGGATATTCCGAACAAAAGATTAGCTGTCAATTATAATACTCAGCTATATTTCCAACTCAGCGAAGAAGAATTTAGAAGTTGTAAAAAAGAGGTGTATGTCTGCTCTCCTGTTTCAACAAGAACCATTGATACAAGTCCACTGGCGGGAGTGGACTGTATATTTTAGAAGTTTTGTTGGTAGGTTGAAGACATTATCCTGTGAGCCTGGATTAAAGTAAAACACTTCTATTCGGCGAAAAGCATTTAACCAATAATTTTATTTAAAGAAAAAGTACAAGTGATCAAATAGTTTGACCGGCACACATACAGACACTTGATTACAATGATTTAATATTATTAATCAATCACAGTGTACAAATTTTACTCGTGTCGATATCAAACTCACTACGGACTATCGAACGTTGTTTTTCCAAGAATAGTAGATGTCCGCGAACTGCCGGCAAGAATCTACTTTGTGGAAAACTAGAAAAATAATTAGAAAACGCACTTATCGCGTGATTATAATAAAAGGAAAAAGAAAATTTCTATTGTGAGCAAGAATAAGCTTCAGCCCTTTCCTTATCGGAGCTTACTCGTCAACTAATCTTAAAAATAGTTTAGATTTTAGACGATTTCGCCACGTTTTGGTTGGTAGGTAAATTGGTTAACCGCTAGGTAGGCTCTTCGTCACACTAGTGACGTCGCATACCATTTTCAGCCGAAATCGGCCGGTTTGTCAAATGTCACGAGTATGACGTGATGGTGATGATATCCTGAGAAAATAAAAATAAACAAACTACTGAATACTTTTTATTGTTGGAAATTAAAATTGAGAATAGTGAAAATTGATTGTGTTTATTTGTTGTGTTTGATTTCGATTATAAACAAAAAAGTGAGGTTAACTTACTCCAAATTAGAGAGAGATAGCAAGCTACCAATTCAAATAACCGTGCTCCAAGCTCGGTACCCAATTTGATATACCAAAATAGATACCAAAGTTATCGTGACGTCATTGTTTTTCGTGCCGAAATTGGTTGGTACATTTTTGACCAACCAAAGTGGGTTACCAAAACGTGGCGAAATCGTCTTTTATCTCTTATATTGCCGTTTGGTATCTATAGCCTGCGGCAACAGGGCGACCGGCGGTGGGGTTGTTTACTTTAAAAGCTTCACAAAAGAAGGCATAAAAACTTGCTATTTTGCTTGAGGCCCAAATAATAGTTGACCTAAATAATATGCTCTTGCTTTTTGATTTTGTAAATATGAAATAAAATAATTTTCTAGAGGAATATAAAGAATCTCCAACATCCACATTGTGTTATAGATGAAATTTACCAACGCACAGAAAACACAACATGTCCTATCCACGAGATCTCCTTGCAATCAATGACATGGAAACAATTAAGTACGCCTAAGGCTTGCTTGTTTGTGACACCTATACAAAGGTAAAAATGGCTATAATTTGCGATGGTGTCCGAGAAGAGACAACAGTTAACTGTGCAGGAATAATAGAAATTTCGCAAAACTGCATAGTTATAAACAATAAGAAAATGTTATCCCCGAAAAAACTAGAGCTGGCAAGAGTACTTAACAATAACTTGTACCCAGCCCGAATAGGCACCATTGATACACTTAGCAGCATTACGAGCTACAGATTTCAAGACAAGCAAGAAGAACCTGTAATTACTGCATCCGACAGCTTAGGAGGGTTGAAGAAAGAAGAAGAACAAATCCATCCAAGACGAAAAATGGGCAAATTTTCGGCATCACACGTTAATTGGCAGCACAACAGCGTTTTCTGTAATAACAGTAGCTCTTGCTGCATGTGTGATTTATTTTCTATACCAACGCTGGAAAAATAATAACCAACCCCAACAGAATAATTCCATGGATAATGGTATTCCATTACAACCGCTGCATCTGTACAATGATCCGTCAATAAGAACAGCACCGGAGGACAATTAAAACGCCTTGCACGAGTCCGGGGTAGAATGTCTAATCAATAATGTAATTAGACAAGTCCTTTTTTTGGGGATATTTAACATAATCCAAGTTACGATTCTCCTACGCGATGGAATTTGTTGAGTTAGCAGCATCGGCAGTACCGTCTAAAACCAGGACAGTCGTTAACTTCCAGCAAATGCGGACTCATCAGAAAAATACTAATTGTAATAAATGTATATAGTTTTTGTATTGATTAGTTCAATATTAATAGCTGTAATTATTTCAATAAAATCAGTATCTAACAAACTATTGTTGTACTCACTACAAACTCAATTATCCCTGGCGGTATCACTTCATGTCTGAATAGAGTCATCAGCGCTCAACAGACAACATCCAAAAGAAAAATTACAAAGCTGCTGGACATACAAGGAAACATTATAGAAGACAGGGATGGCGGAAAATTTCTATGAGGAACTATACGACGCAAAAAACAACATCGAAAATAATTAACAAGAAATCGAAAGCGAAACATCCAAAATTCTTAATGTTAGGTCAGAGGAGATCCTTGATATAGAAGAGGAGGAAATTGCAAAAACGCTAAGCCAATTAAGCAACGAAAAAGCTCCAAGAATGGACGATATACTACGAGACATGCTGAAGGAGACAGGAGAATATCTTGTAAAACAACTGAAAACACTTTTCAATTAATGTCTAACAGAGGGGAAGATACCACACGTTTGGGAGACTGCCATCGACGTTTTGATATACAAAAAAAGGCACCCAACAAAAATCTTGAAAACTATAGAACCATAAGCCTCCTGTCTTAGATATACAAACTGTTTAGGAGAATAATCACCAATCGCCTAGAGAGGAAATTCGATAATTACCAACCTAAAGAACGAGCAGGCTGTAGAGAAAGCTACAGCACTATAAAATATCTTCACACAAAAAGAATGCTAAATGAAACGAATATAACATTACAACATGGCTAGCAATTATCGATTTCAGGAAAGCCTTCGACACTGTCGAATTCTGGGCGATAGAAAGAGCTATGAGAAATGCACGAATAGATCAGCGATATACATACACAATTAAAAATATTCAAGAAACAGCAAAAAGAAAATTAAGAATTCATGAATATACAAACGAAGTGAAGATCAAAAGAGGCGTAAAAGGCGATATATCACCTAAGTTGTTCACCCTAGTCCTCGAAGATGTGTTCAAGGAACTACATTGGGAAAATAGAGGGATCAGCATATCTGGAGAAAACCTCAATAATTCGAGATTCGCTGATGACATCTTAATATTCGCTCCGAACGAAACAGACTTAGAGATCATACGGAAAGAATTACTCCAAGAAGCCAAGAAGATCGGATTAGAAATTAATGTATCAAAAACAGATTTTATTACAAATGAGCAAACAGATAGGGACACAATATTCATAGAAAACCAACAGGTGAAAAAAGTAAACTCCTACAAGTATCTAGGACAGGAAATAACACATAGTTCCATGGACTTTGAAATGGATAGTACTACTGATGGAAAATAGCGACATAGAGAATGATATATGATATATTGGATGATGATTGATCCTTGTGGATGTATAAGTAGACGTAAAAGAGGAGGTGGTGCATCTGGACACTTGAAACGAGAATAAACGGTCAGATCGTTGAGATGGAAGGACTGATAACCAAATTATACTGGTGCGGAATAGCTGACGCCAATGTGCACGACGGGTGTGGCAATATTCAGAAGTTTGTTTCTTTCAAGTGTTTTTATGTAAGTCATGAAATTTTGGATTGTGTCTTAAATGTCCCAGAATCTTCAGATTTGCTGAAAGACTATTAGGATCCAGAGATGTTAAATTCTGAATTATGGGTACTTGATCCTTGGTCATTACTTTGCTTTATTCTAGAACCTTGATTTGAAAGGCTCTGAAGATTTTGAATCTTGAGTCAATAATTTGCAATCTGGAGGATCCTGAGCAAATTTGCTTCTCAAGTATAATAAAGGAAGAAGTTGTACAAAATATTTGTCAGCCAAAAACCTTTAAAGCTGCAGTCTTTGACTAAATCTATTTGGATTTAGGATCCATTTCAAAAAGGCTACCATCAACCAAAATTTGGTACATTGTCATAGAAATCGTATGCCAAACGCTGCTCAAAGTATTGCAGAAAAACTGCAATGGTTGCTAACAAGAATTAAAAACCCACTAGTAGTTTAAAACTTAAATTGGAAAAGAACAAATTTATTATTGCCCTCAACCAAAATATTGAAAATGTGAAGGTTAACAAGATAGCAATCATCATTCTCTCGCAGTTTTGTAATCATTTATAAGCTTGCTATGGTACCTAAGTAATTTTTCAATCAGATTGAGAAACTCATAGTTTTAAAGATCAAGTTCAAAAAAAGCAGAACAAAAATAAAACCAATCCAATTTCCAGAATCAAAATTAAATTTTTTATTGTAGAATAGTTATTTTATAATGCGTTCACAAAAGCTTCATTAGACAAAATTTACAAATAGTAGGTACATTCAAAATGTTTTTACAAGTTCTTTGGTGAAAAGAGAAAAAGAACAATAGCGAAATAATTTAGCTGGCAAAGGCAAGTTACAAAAAATTAAAATAAAATTAGGTTTATGTATGTACATATTTTAAAATTAGGATCGAATAATATTAGACTGCCTAAAAAACAAAATAATTTGGCAAATGTTTATTATTTTACGGTGCTCCAATAAAATTTACAGTAAAACATTTCATGAGTAAGACAAAGTGGAATTATCGTAGGTAATTTCATTTTCATAAAATAATATATCATATGTTATACGTAAAGAAAAAACAAAAATAACATTGCAAAAAAACAAACAAAAATATTATACATAATATATATTTATATATTTGTGAAATTAAAAAATATTATTTTACAAACACGCCTTAATTCTCTTTCACCGTCTTACGTTTATTTATTTATCTCTAAGACACCTATACAACTTTTTTTTAATATTAAATACCTAATATTTATAATATGTATTTACAGATTATAGTGCAGACGGCAGAAACAATTGATAATATGTATTTAAAAAAAAACAAAGAAAAGCAGATGGAAAACAAAAAGGTATTTCGTTGCTTCCCACCTACCAAGTAGGTAGATATTAGTGATTAGCGATTGGACTGTCCAAGATATGGTTGCTGGATAATGATATGCAAAGAAAAGGCAGGACGAAGTTGTAGTAAAACAAGCAATAGACAAAACATTTGCTAGAATGATGACTGCACTATTGGCGCTTTTAAAAATCATCGAGACAAAATTTGATAGCATATTTATGCGATAAATAAAATTTTTAGATTACTTATAGTCCAACTGACCCAAAACTTTCAAAGTTAAATGGTTCAAATGAAATTCCATTTTTGGTGCTTTATTATTATTACCAATTGCTCTATTTTCCTGCACTTCCAATGTTTCATTAATATTAAATATAGGTAGGTCTGTTTCAACAAGAATCAGAAATCACTCGGGCTGAGTTTTCGATCGACTGTTTTCTAAATCCCTATTCAAACAAATTATAAATGTATTATTCTTTGTCGTACTATATACAAGAAATTCACAGTAATTTATTATCACTTCGGGGCCACTTCAACGCGGATAACTGGAATACAGCAGAGCCGGGCCCCACCGGCCTCACACCAACCCAGGCGGCTTGACGTCCAAACCTGTAACCATATCCAAACCCCCCATGGACTGAGATGAAGGTGGTGGCGTTTGATTCATCGACGATGGTGAATTTACGTTATTAGTCATATCGCTTTGACTGTTTTCTTCAGAGTCACTACAAGAGTCCGAACTACCCTTTTTACCGGTGCCGTTATGGGTTTTAACGTGTTTGGCTAAATGATCGGAGCGCATAAAACGCTTGTTACACACTGGACACGCAAAACGTTTTTCACCCGTATGAGTCCTTAAATGCCTTTGCAGCTCATCTGAGCGAGTAAATCTTTTGCCGCAAAATAACCAGTTGCACACGAAAGGTCTCTCACCAGTATGCCATCTCAAATGCGCCTTCAAATGCGAAGTTTTGCCGTAAACTTTACCACAACCGGGTATGTGACAGCTGTGGATATTCTTTTTGCGTAAATGCACCCCTGCAGGGCCTAGTCTTTCGGCTTCCTGACAATTGGGGCAATCGCAAGTAGCCCTGCCAGTATAGCGCCTCTGTGATCTAGGCGATGGTACTTGAGGAGGTAGTCCACTACCCCCACCAGTTGGTGAGGGGCTAGAAGTAGCCGCATGTAAACCAAAAGAAGCTCCCACTGTCTGACCGGGCAGCATAGATTTGTAAGTGTCTTGAAGCAAATGTTGTCCTGAGGATAATAAATGATTTGAGGCAAGCGAGTGCGTTAAACTTGAATAATCTGAACCATAGTTGGCGGCTGCCATTTGAGCGTGCATCCCAGCCGCTCCGCTCATATCCAACCAACTTCCCGCTGTTGAATGTACATCCCACCAAGCATTAGCGCCTGCTACAGAGTCACTTTTGATACCCCCATGCGTGGCAGTAGACATAGTGTTAAAGGGCCACGTCTCGTAAGGATGTCTCGAATAGACCGAACCTAAGTGGTGAGCTGTGGCAGCTCCTTCCACTTTTCCCAACAAAGAACTTTGATGATGATGTACGTTATCACTCACAGAAGGCTGAGTGGTAGCTCCAGGAAAATATAGATCGCTTCCATACGAAGCTGTCGTTGGTACAGAGGCGCAAGACGTCATAACTGATCTGGAGTAAGTAGGGTTTGAGGCTGCGGTGCTTCGTTGACTAGGCAAGGAGCTTGCCGATGATACGCCGGTGCTTCCTGGCGAAGGGGCGCCCTGAGGAGACTTCTTCCAAGGGTGGAAGCCTTTGCCCACAGCAGCGTCGGCCAACGGTGGTGGCGATTTACTGCTTAGCTTGTTGCATTGGGCTGCTAGCATTGCAAGAGGGGTACCGCGTAGACTGGGGTGTTCCTGGAACAGAAATAAAATAAAATTAGTATAAGATGGCAGCAACTATGAATGTTATATCAATTTTATAATATACAGTCGACGGAAATAGTTTTTTTTTTTAATTTACTTTATAATACCTAAAATGTTCATTTGACAAATAGATTTTTGTATTTTAATAACCCAGAAACCCCATTAGTCATTTCTGCTTAAAGGGAACATCTAAAATTAAAAACGTCACTCTTTCAATCTTGTTAACAGGGGGGTGATTTACGACAAACACGTTGTGTTGTGAACGACAGTCCAGTATTGATATATGGAACCTCGTCAACCGATATTTTAATCTTCGGTAGCTGGGGTTTACAGGTAGGACATGACCACTTGTCTCTCTGTCGGCGTGTCACATCGGATCAAAAGCTCATCTCCGAAAATCCGTGTTCGACTCTCAACGGCCTGCCATCAACAACGCTGTAATCGGCTTAAATCGGAACAATTATTGTCCCCGCTCTGTCCGATGAATAAACCTTCCTGTTGTGGCGTGTATTATTGCGACACGCTGTTCCGGATTGTGAAGTGTGTAAATTGAGTGATGTCCTACAAGAGGCGATAGCCTGTTTTATTATTAAAAGCATTGTCATGTGAGATTATTTAAGAGCTTACCAACGTTATTTTCATTGATAGTAAAGTAAATGAAAATGTGGAAAAATTGTCCACTTTAGTTACCAATTGCATATGAAGAGATTCTCTAGATCTGAAGAGTTTTTTGAGCGTAGCGTGTGTGGGTGGAATTTGAAAAATCCAAGTTGACTGAAGTCGATGATATTATGATGGTGGTTTGATTCGAAATCAGTCTCATTTCAATTTCGAGGGAAATATTTCAAGATATAGAAATTACAAAACAACATTACAACTTGAAAGATTACAATCCTTTCAGGTCATGGATTCAGTAGACGAGACATTACGACCGTATTCAATGAGAAAAGTAAAACTAACTTTTGACAATGATAGCAACTGAGTGCGTTGCGAACGATATAAACTTCAGTTTGGTACAATGCTAAAAAAAAAACAACAGCCCAATTAAATCTTCCACCTCTTACTTCTGCAAACGCTGCACAACATTCCTTCAGGACATATCAAAAATTGCTTGGTGAAAAAGTTCCTGTAGAGTAGGGTTCGTTTCGTCTTCGAAAACTGATGTAGGAAAAACTGCATCGACAATGCAGCTGCTTCAAATCATGAATCTGTGATAGTAGAACTTGCAGTGACATTATTGATTCAACGAATCGGAGAATGTTAATCTCCTGCACTTTCAGAATCTTGATAAGTCAAAAGGTGGATGTGCGAGTGAATAATGATGATGATTGAATGCACTGAATATGATTTTACCTGTTCTAGATTGGCGAAGATAAAAATGACGGAAAAGTTTGCATTGCAGAATCATAAAAAAAAAAAAAACAAGAATTGCCTAAAGCCAAAGGAGTCCTGCCGTAATGACGACTAGCAACCACCATCACTCTGGCTCTGACATTGACCGCTGAAATGATTTCAAATTCTTTTTTTTTTTTTTTTTTGTTTAGCTGTGCGTGTTTCGAGCGCGACCCACAGGCGCCAACATTTCATTATGCTCCTTGTTGTTGATTAAAGCGCCGACCGCGAGGTCCTTCCAAGCGACCCGACCGCATAATAATGGAAAAAGACACTGTATGGGTGTAATTAACAAATTATACAAGTTGTTTAGATAATGGAGTTCGGGGAAGATAGTGATCTAATCAAAAATAATGTGAGACCGATGATGAATTTTTAGATAAACTTGTGTTTTTTTTTTGTAACCTATTTCCTGCTCACTATTATCAATGACAGCAGACAGGAGATTCGGTTTGTTTTTACTACGCAGGTATGGTTTACATGTGAGCGGTAGTTTCTGCTCTTAACTTCTTTATAACATGCTCAAGCACTATTCAGCTTTATAAGTAAGGTTGGGAATCGGAAACGCAGATGCGTGATTGTAATTTGGAAAAAAAAATGTTTAGTCCCATCTGCGCATAGGAAAATTGCAAAGTAACGTTCTGTTTACTAAATACTCCATAAACGATGTGAACTTGCAGCTAACTAATATGGATCAGAGATTAAAATTTTCAAGTGTCAAAAATGTTCCAGGCACTAAAAAGAGTCCTACTTCGTTTTAATAAATATTTTTAAACACCTTTCATACTGTTTCCTCTCAACATTTTCAGCTCCCGGACAGGTGACAGGTTAGTTTCAGGGATAATTGTAGACCGCGGTAATAACGGAAAATTAAATATTCAACGGAAATTTGCAAGTATGATGAAATGATCTAGATTACGTAAGATAACATTCAATCAATGCAGAAAAAATTGTTAATTGCTTTGTTATCGTTATTTTTTTTTTTTCATAAAAATTATATATGTGTGAATTTGCAAAGAATCTAAAGCAGGGTGCCCAGATTGATTTATTTCTTCTTAGAATATTAGTACAAATTGCACAAAAAAATCTATCATGACGGCCCACCAATAAAGAAAACTAATAAAAAATTTACACAAATCAACTCTAAAACAGGAAACAGGACCGGTCTAATCTACAAGGAATTATAACCGCACAACAAACGATTATAATTTTCCCTTTAAAAGCCCACATCTGTGTGTGTTATAAATTTATTAATGATTCGGTTCAGCTAATTCGGCGTAAACATTTCGTATTTATACTGTGGCGGCAATTCAAAAACAATTAATAACCGTTTATTATTCTTGATAAGTTTGGCTTTTATCTTGACCGACACATCGTTGTTTGTTATTAATGACCTGTTGAGATATCGTATGTGTCCAATTTTGTGTGTATTTTATTACTTTTCAAATTTCTTCGAAATTACTAATCTGAATAATAAGCAGCAGACACTTATGAAAGATGTTGAAAATTCTCTAGACTCAGTTTAAAAGAAATATTTTTCATTGAGAAGAATACAGTGCATTGATTCACCATTACTAAACTAATATGGAAAAACCTTTGGTATTTCAAAAAAAAAAAGAATTAATGAAGCATTCGTGACCAGCGGCTAGTGTCAGACTCATCAAGCTTCAATCAAGTCATTATTTTAATACTTTAATTATTTCTGTATTAACTGCCTTGTTATTTTATTACATAAATATGCGTCAATGAATTCCAACACATTTTCATTTATGTTTGAGCGTAGAATGTCTATATATTTTACAATTTCTAGTATATCATTTTGATGTAGTAATATCTTTGTCGGGGTATGAGGGTAAATCTCGGAAAATGAAAAGGGATGTGACATGCGCAGTGATTAGTGCGCAGCTACTTCAGCGCTTTCGGTCTAAGGTGGCATTAGATTTTCATGTCGATGCCTTCGATATAGTAGATCGCTGTAAATTTGTGCAGTGAATTATGCCCGTTTCAACTTTCATAAAGGGATAGAATAAGTAGGGCTTACCTGATCTAGGATTTCCTAAGTTCAGAAAACGGTTTCCACCTAGCTAAGTATTGAAAAACACTGGCACTGACTGCGAATTTTCAACAATTTTTATCAGCTGCCTTTCGTAGATTTGAGTTTGTGAATTTATCATGTTTGATGTTTTTGATTTTGATCTGTTCTTGACTTGGAATAATGTTCCATGGAGTAATTCTGGAAAATATTGAAAATTGGCTGTTCGCTGGCAAAATTGAAATACATATTTTATCAATGTTAGATTATCCATAGCATCAAAGTGGTTATGCCTGTTTTACATTGCACTAAATCGAATATTTCCAAATCGTCCTCAAATATTTCAATTTTTAATTGAAGAAAAGACACGCTCTGGTCCTGATACACCGAAAGATGAAAATACTGGAAAAATGAGGTGTGACCATTCCTTTGCTAGGTGGCATTTTGGGTGGAGAATTTTGGACTCCTGAAATTCGGATGTCCATAAACTAGTTTAGGGAAAGAGTAGAGGTGGTGGAAACGAAAAGACCCCCCAACGCAAAGTTATATTGTCTTCCTACCATTGAGGTGGCCCTGGAAAAGTAATGAGATGTTTATACATCCAGTGTCTCGAGTATTAGCAGACTCGCTCATTTTTCTAATTTGCTTGCTCTTCTTTTTACATTTTCCATGCCCTCTCTTAATAACCTAGTGTGTGTGTGTGTGTGTGTATAAGTTTCAATAGCACCTTTATTCGTTCCAACAGGCCAGTACATTTTTTTTTTTTTAAATTGTCATACATATTATGTTTATTTGTGCATTTCATTCTACTATTACCATGATTCAATTTCACTTTATCTTTATTGCTGTCATATATACATTTATAAACCTAATACTTGTATACACACATATTTATACTCCCACATAATTTCTATTTTTTTCTTTTTTTCTCAATCTATATAATATAAAAATGAATGCCACTTATCGTTGTAATTTTATAACTCAAGAACGGACTCACCTAGCCAAACCAAATGTTTAGGCTTTGTTCGGACTATTTATTAGATGGTTTATGTGAAGTTTGCACAAAATCGGTCGAGCGGTTCTTCATTTATCACATTTTTTGTAATAAATTAATTATTCAATAAATGGAGCATCATTTTGCTGTCAAATTCAAACTTTTTTCAGCGTTGACAGTACCAGCATGTTGTTATGTCATTAATGTGGTCATTTCATTACTTATTTTATTTATTTATGAAAAAAATTTATTAAGCCCGCATACGGCGCCATGTCTTATAACCGATACCAAGTTTATTTTGTATTTTGTATACCGCGCCATCTCTGATACCTGGAACGAAGCTCGGCATTGCAGATACAGTAGAACAATGCTGCACAGAACTATTCCACTATTCCGATCAGATAGAGTGGTGCAGAAAGAGTAGGTCAGATAGAGTAGTGCAGATAGAGTAGTGCAGATAGAGTAGAACAGATGGAGTGGTGCAGTGCATGCAGTGCAGATAGAGTGAAATAGGGCTGCGCTAGAGGTTTTTTTTGTTTTCTTTACATTCTTTGAACATTCCTGTGCCTGAGT